AAAAAAAAAAAAAAAAAAAAAACAATGCACCCTCATTTAGGCTGTACTTGACCGTAAATATAGCTTGTATACATGCATTATCAGGTTGTGTTACGTTTGGGGACGGCGATTGTGGCAGCTTTCCTTGTACATGAGACTTAGGAGGTCTCATTCTCTTGCCGTGTTTTATTCTGAAAATGGCACCATGCTCTCTCCTTCTTCAGTTGTCGCTCGTTATCTTCACTAAAATGAGGGCACGTTGGCTTTTTTTTTTGTGTCTGAAATGGTTCTGCCGAACCTTGTGCTATACACACATAGGAGCTGGCCTATTTGGTGTCGGGAGCTGTGTGCGATGCGCTGGTAATGTTAGAGAAAGGCGGCAAAGGCGACTGTCATTCATGTCCTCCCAGAAGAGAGTTTGTGATTGTGTTAGAAGTACAGTATTTTGTAACTGAGGTACAAAAAACATTTCCGAAATGTATACAAGGCTACAAGCTATGTTTCCGGTCAGGTACAGCCGAAATGTATCTGCTGCGGTCTTCGGAGGCTAGACAAGTTAGGTGCTGGAGGTCAGAAGAGAGTTTGTGATTGCGTCAGAAGTACTGTTTTCTGTCACTGAGGTACAGAAAACATTTCCGAAATGTATACAAGCTATATATCCGGTCAGGTACAGCCAAAACGAGGACTAGAAGCAGTGTTATGCAGTGGGTACTAGAAACTTCAAGGAGGAGGGGGAGAGCCCTGGATGTCGGCACGTGAAGTTCCGTACGTTATGTTAACGCTCGACTGCAGGCATCAATACAAAAAAAAACAGTTCCGAAATGTATACAAACTATATTTCCGGTCAGGTGCAGCCAAAATGGGGGGTAGAAGTTTGATACGGTATGTTACGCTCGACTGCAGGCATCACCAGCTCTTGCGGAAATTACTACGATGTCATGGTTTCTACAGTCTCATGTGGTGCTGACGGCTGCCTCCCTCCTTTCCCTGGCTGTGCGCACCTGTGACCCGGGCATTGTGTCTCCAATTTGCGGCTAGGGGTATTGTTGAAACGGTTTTCACCTTTTGCAGTCACAGATGCAGATCCCAAGGCTCGATCCCCAGACCTTACCTTACCTTACCTTCCCTGTGTACAGTATCAAGTCGGCCCTGTGTGTCTTGAACCCGGGACCTGTGTGTTAGTAGTTGAAAGTTGTCTGTCGTAGGTCTGAGTAGTTGTCGGGTCTTGACCCTTAGACCTGTTGAAGTAGGGGTCATACCTGCATTAGGGGTCATATTTGTTGTAGTTCTGAAAGGTCAAGGTCGTAGCTGCTACAGTCCTGAAAGGCCAAGTCGGCAAACTTCCGGAAGGTTGGGAAGTGGCCTTTCAAGTTTCTTCTCACGTTATACACAGCAGACCAGAGGCAAGTGGGCAAGTGGTGAGTCCAACTTCGCTTAGTCAGCGGTACCCAGTCCCAGTCTCACTTTGTGCAGTCAGCAAGTACCATGAGGGACTGTGTGCACCATGGGCCCGGTGGAAAGGGGCAGACTAGCGACTTACAGAAGTATAAATCAAGAGGCAGCATCCAGCCATTCATTCATTCCTGCGTGAGCCATGCGGAAGCGCTGCCCAGGCGTCTTGTGCGAGGTGGTCTGCAGAGGCCCGAGGTCGAAGTCGGCTGAAGGGAGATAGAGTGTCCATAGCCAGTAGGGGTTAGGCTGCCATAGCCGCTGTAGCTTGAAGATAGAGTTCAGTGCGTGTGTGTGTGTTTTGTACAGAGTTGTGTGCGTGGATTATCCAGGGTGATCCAGAGACGAGTGTGTGCGAACAGTGTGTGGACACAGTGTCAGACAAAGGATGTGTGAGCTCTCAGGCGCCATAGCCAGTTGGAAGTGAGTTTGTAACTTGAGTATCTCTGAGCTTTGTGTGGGCGCACAGCGGAAGCATGGATTGTCACCTGTTTGCATGTATGTGAAGTGAAGAAGAAAGCGAGTCTGATTGCATTGGTATCGGAGCCGGTTCCCGCCATTCCAAGCGCCATAGCAGAGGTACGCCGAAGAAGAAGAGTCCACCATAGCTGCGCTGCGGAAGGAGGTGCCGCGTACCTGCAAAGAAGACAACGACAAGAGAGAGAGAGAGAGAGAGAGAGAGAGAGAGAGAGAGAGAGAGAGAGAGAGAGAGAGAGAGAGAGAGAGA